GCGATCGGTTGCCCATACATTGCCATTCTGGTTTAAAGTCTTATTTGGTAGCTTTGACCCTAATTAAGGGTGAGTTAGCTGTATCGCTCAAATAGATCGCAATTCTACACAAAGAGAATGGGTTAGGTGACGTCTAGCATATATCATCGATGAGCGCAGCGCCGCTATAGTCTATATACCACAATTATACTGTGGTTTCCCGAAGTTTGAGGGGGTCTCAGCCTCAAGGGATTAATTTCACGGTACTCCGTATCGTTACCGTAACCTCAGTCAATATTCGTGCAACATCAGAGTATTGGAGAATTCATTCCACCTTAGTATTCCCAGGTACGTCGCATGTCGTATCTCGGGATCACGCGTCGCTGTATACGCGCCACGATCGCGCATGCACCCAACGTTCAAGTTCAAGTTGTCTAGTAGATAACTGAGGTGCCCCCACTGCTCTCCTCTTGCATGTGTAGCTAGTGAAGACAATCTGTCGATCTAGTTTCAGTTCTCAATTTCCTACAAGACACTCAAATGACTCATCACCTCGCGGGAGAGGCACGATATTTTTGTGGTGGAACGGAATCTGCGAAAATCTCGTTGACGCAGGTCTCGATACCACTGGCCCCGGACACCGACTAAGGAGGGGGGGCCCTCAGATGATCCGTGATCTGGTTGTGTAGTTGTTCTCACCTTGTGTACACGACGGCGGGCGGGTTACGCTCTTCTAGGCGACTTGTGAGATGGCCTTAGGTGAACGTAAGACGCAGGTGCTTGAGATAACGTGGGACTTCTTCACTCTATCTCGAGGTAGTTGATCCGGGTGGCGGATGTGTCCTTGAGCTTGAGCCGCGATCTGGCTGCATGGTTGTCGATCCAACTCTTGTGTGGGTCCAATGTCGGGGATCTGACCCCTTCCTTAGCGTTTGCTTGCCGTTTCCTATAGCGGGGAACTTATTGAACTGAAATCCGATGTGATCTTCCGGCCAAGCAAGCAATGCCTTCCGATCCGCGATACACACTTGAAGACAAGTCACTAGGTAGGGTAAAGCTGACCAATATATTACCCAGGTATAACTGCTACACTAGCACACGAGTCCTTACCTTCTGCACACTTCCGGGGCCAATACAATCCCGGATTCCAGGCGTGACGTAGGCACTTGTGTGGCTTAGAGCAAATTCGAGTCTGTTTACGTTTATCCATATGGCCACCAGTCCCATCCTCCGCTGCTATCTTACGATCACCCCTCATCAGGATCCTGAGATCTGCCGTCACGGTCAGACGTAACCTTCTCGATCGGATCTTAAACCACTTCCGATCGCGAACTCTGATCTCTGATCGCGTTCTCGGTCGTGGTCTTGGACAGCTTCCTAGATCGCGATCCCGAACAACCTTCTCGATCGTGATCGTGGGCCGCTTCCTCGATCGTTGCCATACCCGGTCCTGGATCGCCGTTCACCTGCGATCCCTGCCTGCTACCCCACCTTGTTCCCGGAGCGCCACTCTTCAGCGACCCTCGATCGCTACCTTGTCTTGATCCTTGCTCGCCTCTCACCAACGATCTCCGGCCGCCGCCATACCGGGTACCTTGATGTCATGAACCGGGGTCCCGACGGGTACGCATGGCCATTCATCACTCTAGTGGTCAATATTGGGTCATCAGAAGTCAATGTCACTCACCGATGTTGTCTCACGCTCGAGCTTGTACAGGGGACCCGAAGTCCTGGTCTGGGTGGTATTCCTGTCGCCTGGTCCGTCTCTATCTCGCGATCTGGCAGCCGAGGTTGCCTTTCTCGGGAGATCTTATTCGCACTTTACCACATTCACCCTCAGCCTGCAAGTTGGACCGTCACGGTTCACTTCAGGTATAATTCTGCAGTTTCCCGACTCGCTCTCAGTGCCCCAACATCTTCGGGACGGCCAACCACCATGCGTCCACGAGGCAGCAACTCTGCAACGCCCCCGTACCGACCCCGCCCGACTCTCCCATGTCGATGGGGAGCCATCGGTCACCACACTCTGACATCACGCGCCGCTCACGCTCCCATACCACCAACCCTGGCCGGCGATTAGCCGCATTGGAGGCTGAGCTTCGCCAAGGCAACCTCGCGCGATATCACCTCGTCCAGGATCGGGATCACCTAGATCTGCAAATACATCAGCTACGGGCTGACATCCGGGGCATGAAGACGTTCCAACGCGGGCAGCACGACGAGATCTCCTGCCTCGAGACCGAGATCGCCAACCTCGCACGCGACGCCGAAAACGATCCCGACGGTCTCTGTACCCAGGTTCACCAACTGCGTGCGGAACTGGACGATTTCGAGCGCCGCGTGGTTTGCACTCATGAGGATCTGTGCCTTGTCGAGGAAGAGCGCGATATGCTATGCCTAGAAATAGTCCAGTCCGGAAAGGAGATCTGAATTTTGCAGGAGAAGGTTCGAAACCAGGAGCACGAACTTGACGACGCAAGATCCGAATCCGCCACGATCATGGCTAGCTACAACCGCGTTTCCACGCATCGCACCCGACTTCAACCCGATCACAGCGTGAGTGCGCCTCTCGGACCTCCGCTCGGTTGATTCAGGCCGCCCGGGATTGTGGGTTAGCTGATCTCGCGCGCGTAAGTGCGTCCCTGACACAACCTCCTCTGATCGAGACCGGGCCTTGGGTTGCGTTCGGTCAACCCTTAGGAAGCCACGAACGAGGACTAGGAGGTATATTTAGCGCTTACGCGCAAACCCACTGCAGTCCCTCAGAATAAGGGTACCGGTTTTCGCAAACCTATTACAGGGGCACCGAGGGAATCCTCGGTAGGAAGTCTAGTGTATGTGAGAACCCTCTGTCCACACAAATACACATTGAACGAGCTTTCGCTAACGTTCTGTACACGGCCACACTCTCCTCTTGGCCTTACCTAGCCACCAGACCCTTGGTCCAATTTACTTCGGGTCTATCAACAAGCATCCACACAACCAGCCGTACCTTGGCCTAAGATAAGCTAGCTAGACTTACCGAAGACGGACTTGACCCTTGTTAGCTGTGGGGGAGAACTTTTTTTTATTACTGCATAATGTAAGGCTCTGAGAGACTCCCTACCTTCTATCTACCGATGAGTCCTACTCCTATACTAAAATCAAGTATAAACAGATATTTGTGGGACAATCCCCAACCGACTCCTCTACCGACATCTACCGACATCTACCGACCGAGGGGTCACGTAGGTACGAACTCACCATCATTCCGGATCTGACCGAGGACTCGCGTAAGCGAGTATCCGGTTATTCTTTGAAAGCTCTCTGCCAATTGGCCTTGAAAGCTCGGTGGTCTGCGAAGCTACGATTCGCTTCACCACATCTCGATCTGGCCTACGATCAGCTCAACGAATTGCGAGATCTGGCTGAAGGTGATCTGTCTGATGCAGATTAGCTCCTGAAGCATCTTGCTGGAAGTATTCGACTGAGCCAAGCAGTTCGAATGCCGAAACGGGAATGGAGTCCGCCTGGTTCTCTTACCCAGTCGCTTCCTCTTAAAACTCGTCGCGGTGATTTCCCACTCCCCAACCTGGAGACCAAGATTACCGTGAGATCGAGGACGACGTGGGCGGGGGCGGAGGCGATCACGACGAACCTAAGGATAAGCCCGAGATCCCGAGTGGTGACGATGACGATCGTAGAGGTCACGACTCTCCTCGCAGAAGGGATGGGTCCCCTCTACCCACGCCCCCCCCCCGCGGGGAACTCTCCATCCTCGGAGAAAAGACCCGATCTCCTCCTCCCTCTCCACATGGATCTCCCGGGGGAAACTCCCGGTGGAGGTTCTCCAGGGGGAGGTTCACCCGGGGGCAGCTCTTCCGGGGGAGACTTTCCTTTTCAGCTATATCGGCCGTTGTTTGTTCTCGGAGCGTGTGTTCCTTGCCATTCTGCGATCCGGATATTCACGTCCGCCGAGATCTTTCCGTGGGATCCAACCTTCGTGGGAACTGTTCCGATCATTACCATGATCCCGGCCACCTTGGCCAAGAGGTTACCGATTCCGCTAGAATTCCTGTATCCCGCCCGAACACCGACACTTCGTCCTCTCATACCCCGGACTGGTTACCGATCTGATCTGATCACCGGCGCAAACATTTTGGCTCTACTTGCTACCCAGCCGTGACTTGCACTCCAGAATCGTCCTGCTCCCCTGACATTCGATCGACACTTACACTGTTGCGCTGACTCACCTCTATGGCGGATCGCCGTATCCGACGCAGGCCTCGAGTCGGATCACTTGCAAGCGTACTGGGAATAGACTCATTATCCCGGAATCACCAAGGCGATGTGCACCTCGGACCTGGATCGCCTGCAATAACACCACGATCGTCGTCAGCGACGCATCCGAGTTGGTGATCGTTGGCGTAAACTGATGGCAGCGTGTCTCCGGATGGTGCGGAACCACTGGGCCGACATCTACCTCCTACTGGATCCTTTCTGTCTACTACTCAGGATCGAGTACGCTGGTACCCCGGATCCGCCTCCCGAGCGGCCAATCTCGAACAGCCGGCCGCGAACCTCCCCGAGCCGACGGATCTGATCACCACCCGGGTTGAACGTGATCAGACAGATCCCAGGCAGAACCATTTCCGCGACCGTCCCGCCGATCACCCGTCGCTGCGGATTCCGCAACTCGCTAACAAGTTCAACCCCCTGCGGCTCAGACACCCCTTAGCTAGACGATCTGGACTTGTTCCGGGGGCATCACCTGCGATCACCGCTCGCTTTCCCCAGATCTCGATTTCGTCGTATCTGTTCTGTAATTAACCAATCTCAGCAGCGTCCCCATTTGCTTGCACTTTTCGTTGCACCTACGTGGTGATCCATCTTCCTGCTCACTTTGTCTTCCACGATCTACCCGCGAGGTCTGATGTCCTTTTCATATGCACAAATACAACATAAATTCCTGATCCCAGTAATCTCACTGACTTGCATTTCCGTCCAAATTGAGTCATCAGGTAGTCTTGCCTTGTCCCTCCTCACATCTCATCGTGTGACTGCATTACGTTGAAACGATTGTGATTCACGCGTTCTCGCAGGAAAGCGTTCAGTATCGCGCCGCAGTTGAGGTCGGCCTCGTCGACCCAGGTCGGTTCTTCGTATCCCACCCACTGTACGAAAAAATTCTCGATAGATCCGACCAAAGCGAGTCTTTTTCCGCACATCCGACATCCGTTCAACCTCGTATCTGTCGACTTCAAGAGCCGGGACCCAACTATCCTCTGCGAGCAGGATCTCATCAAAGTCGAGGCGATCCGATTCATTCACTGTGAGTTCGACTCGAGGCCCATCGGGGAAGTTATTTACCAGTTTTAGCTTCGACCCCTGAACTACCGGGAATATCCGGTATCCTGTGCCTGTGATCTCGAGTTTGATGGTGAATTCATTGATCTTCTCAGCGACACGGGATGGCCCACGCCAGAGGTGAGCCAATTTGTGAGCGTACCCCTTTCTCACTCGGTCAAGATATAACCAAACCCAAGATCGCACATTGATCTGGTGCGATCCAACGTCCTCACTATGGCGACTGGCGCGATCTGCAATGACTTCTCGCAATCTGACGTTGACCTGTTCCCGTGACTGTGATAATACCGTTGGATATGATAGCGCCACCTTCGTGGGTCACGATCGCGCCGTCTGGTGCCTCCGACTGGAATTGTGGCCTCCAGCGTTGATCTCGGATCCCAACCATTTTACCAAAAAAATAGTTGTATCTCCCCGAATCCGATCGTCGGCCGTGTAGATCACGAAGGTGAGGCGCTCAGCGTACTCATCCCAACCCTTCTGATCTAGATCGCGAACGTACATCTTGAGTGCCCTGGTCGCTGTCGGTACCAGTTCCACGGTCCCGTTGGCTTGAGGTCGATACGCCATCGTCGCTCGCTGCCGCTGACACAGGGTTTTATTGAACGCCTGGCAGAAGTCGGATATGAACCCGGGTTCTCGATGATGTCTGATCATCTCGCTAGCACCGAATCGCCGAAATATACACTATCCATGCGATTCCGAGACCGTCTGGGCCGATCGGGACGAGCTAGCCTTCGCGATCACGTATCCCGTGAACGGATCGACCCAGATCAGCAGCTCAGTATTACCGTTGTTTGATCTGGGCAGCCACAGTATATGATCGATCGCAATGATCTGGAACGGATACGTTGCTTACAGATTCCCTGGCGATTCTCCTTCGATCACGGGCCTACTGTGATGTAGCGCTTGGAACTTTTGCTCCCAGGCCACGACGCAA